AGTGTGGTTAAAAACGCTAGTAAAAATAATCCTAATTTATATTTGTATTGGCCGTGATTTTTTTTTTTAATCTTTTTTAAAAATTACTGTTCATATAGTAACATTGGGTGAGCTTTATCAAAATAAAAAATTTTAGATAGGCCGTGCTGAAATATGGATACCATAAAGTATGACATGATACATGTGACGGGAAATTAACTTTAAAATCAATGTCTAGTTTTACATATTGTTTTTGTCATTCCATTATGCCAGAAAGTTATGTTAAAGCAGGTTTATATGTGTATATATAAATTGATGAATAAAACTAATCTGGCATAACTAATTGATGTAATGAAGGACCAAAAGTGATGCCTATATTTAATAGTTGTTGATTTAAAATGAATAACAGGATTGTAACACATATTATTGTATAAAAAATTTTTTGTCACACTTATGTCATGTTAGCAAATACTCATTAGACAACATGATTATAATTAATCACAATAAATGTTCATGAGTATAAAATTCGTATTAATCTAATAAATTAAAAACTACGAAAATCTGTAGTTTGGAGACTCGGTCGGCCGGTCTTATTGATTATACAAAATATTTCGACACCAAAGATGAAGGCTATGTTTGGTAAAACTAGCTGATAAACTAGCTTATAGTTTATTTGTAATTTATTAACTTATAGCTTATAGCTTATGACTTATAGCTGAAATGCTAGCTTATAGGATAAAAATGTTTGGTAAAATTAGCTGATAAGCTAGCTGAAATAAAAAATTCAATTAACTTATTTGAAAAGCTACCTAAAGTAGCTTATGAGATAAGTTCGAGCCTTTTAAAAAAGCTCATCCTACCAAACGAGACTTATTTGAATACAGGGAGATTTTAAGCTAATCAAATAAGCTATAAGCTAATTTATTTGGCTTACCAAACACAGTCGAAGAAATTGCAATTGGATAATTTTTTCTAAGAAAATATAATGTCTTCTTAAATTAGAAATAAAATATGGAAATATATTTTAAAAGTGAGATATATTTAAAATTAAGAACAAATATAAATAAAAATATAATATGATTTGATATCAAAATAATAAAATATTATACAATAATAATGGGTAATTTAAAATACTTGACTGAATGAATAGTGTTTCATACTGTAAAGCTTGTAATAATAATAAAAAAAGTAAGAATAAATAATATTTTTACAATTTTTATATGTTGCAATAAGATTTTATGATATAAATTTTGGCCAGATAAAAAAATATCCATACTCAAAAGAATTTTTTCCTGCAATAAATAACATTATATTTTTATTTTCATATTTTATATGTACAATATGGGTTCAACTATTTTTTGTAAACATACATTATTACTTTTATTAAAATAACTGATAGAATAATTATAGTCAATTAGCTTAGTATAGGAGATTTGTTAAGTGATAATTTCTAAATTCTAATTTAAAATTTTTCTCATTTATATCAATATTATGCATCAATAATATTTTTTTTTCTCATTTTAACGCATTCAATGTTAATTCACGCAACATGTGTGATTATATCAAAGACTATTATCATGCTCTAAATTAATTTATACTAACTCAGCATAATCCATTAATTAATTAATTAAGTTGTGTACACATCTTGAGTTCAAACGTATCCCATGTTCTCATTTTCATATTACTTGGGCTGCTTTGAAATCCCTATTCCAAGTACTCATTTTGGTATTAATTGGGCTGCTTTGAAATCCCTATTCCAAGTACTCATTTGGGTATTAATTGGGCTTTTTGGGGCTTTTTGCTTTGAAATCCCTTTTGGGTTTTATCTTTTAAAGTGAAGTGATCATAGCCCATTGGTCAATTTGATGAGTTTGTGCTGTCGCATTAAACATTTCAGCTGTACCTTCAATATCCCCATTTAACATGGGTGTTGCTATTTACACCTATTTTATAAATACTTCATTGTAATATTAATAAAATCACTAATAATTAGTATTCTACTTTAATTGAACTTATTAACCTTTTCAGTATTTTATTTGCAAACCTTCTTCACAAAATTCATCTCTATGTTTTATTTATTTATTTGTTTGAAATTTTAAAAGGGGGTGTACTTATAAACTGCTAGGTGTGAATGGCAATAGCCTTTTAACATTCATGCAGAAAATTGAGCGTAGTTGCATTGTCATAATAAAAGGTTAATTTGATTAGTTTTTGGTTCAAAAAAGGTTTTGTAAAGGCTATTTAACAGTTGACCATTTATTTATATTTAATTTAATACTAGAAAATAATAAATACGAAAATGAAAAGAAAAGGATAATTTGGAAAGTACAGCCTATAGGGGTGACATGTAAATAATGTTGCAAGAGTAGGCGGAGATGAAATTAAGTGAATTGAAAGGGACTAATTACAAAAAGTATGAATGAATGAGATTGAGATGGGTGGTGACATTTTTCATCACCATATATAAACAGCAAGTATGTGTCACTTTATCCCATGCCTTTACATTTTTGTTCTGAATGTCAAATTGTGTTATCATGTTAGGTTTTCACTATGGTATTTTTGCGTTTTTCATTTTATCCTATCTTTTAAGTGTTATGTTATATATAGTAAGTCTAAATTTGATTCAATTTCTTCATGTGATCATTTTATGAAAATTACTCAACTACTTATCGCGGGNTGTTTTGTGTTCACTATTTTATCTCATCAGAAATATTACAACACATCTTCATTTAATTATATTGTATGTGATCATGCTATGAAAATTGTTCGTTTATACGTGGACATATTAAAATGTGCTCATCAACCATTTGGTAATCTTTTACCATATATATACCCAATATTTATAATATAATGCCATGACACAATATTGATATACATAAACCATGCTAGGAGAGCAAGATTGGATCACTTATATATGGACATGAGCCCCTTTTATGGATATTAAATCTAGGACATGAAAATCTACAAATTTGGAATAAATTCTTAATAAACGACTTGTTTTTTTCCTAATTACATTTTTCAAACCATCCCCCTTTCTTGATGAAGCCAATAATTACATAAACACCCTCTGAATTTCGAAAAAGAAAAATGGTGTTAATCTGCAATTAATATCAAGTCCAAGGATATTTTGGAAAATCAACATAAAGTATGAAGTACACATATGTGTGTATTTAAAGGCAAGAAGGTGAGTTTAATGTGTTGTGAAGAGTCCAAATGATGTGTTTCTAAATAGAGAAAGGCCATCATGCCACTGACAACCAGGCATTTGTTGGGAACATGCAAATGAGCAGATGTGTTGGAAAATGTAAATATAATAATATGACTTACATATTTTTATGCACAAGAAAAAAAAATAAAAAATACCATATTGCAAAAATTTATGACAAAATTAAGTTCAAAGGTATTATTGTTAGAAAGGTGGGACTCTTGCAGTTTTAGCTCTCTTTTCATGTTACAAAAACTTAGTGTTGTTAAAAGCACTCTTGTCAAGTGATGGACTTTTCCTTAATATATATTATCCTTTCATATAAAAAATTTCAGCAAATTGCAGTGCAATTATCGGATTTTTTCGCGTGGGATCAACAGACATCTGTGTGGTTATGTGTACTATGTGTTGATCCAATGGTAGAAAACTCGTGCAGTCAGCGGCTGAATCGAATGCTCTTTATCATATCATGAATTTATGATCATTGTATTTGTATATATACATGATATGTCTCTAACAAGTTATGTACTTAATTAATAATTTTTGGTCATTTGGACATAAATTTTTAACATAAAATACATTGTTTTTATGGTTTTTAATTAGTCATAATTTTTTATTTTTTTTAAATGAAAATGTATCACAAAAAAATNTAAAATTAGGAAAGTTTTTAATTGAGGTGTACGTGCTTATTTCGTATGTTGGTTGATGCATGTGCTGTGTGCCTTTTTGCTGATAGGAATTTAATGAATTTTGGGGACTATAATTCCTTAGGTTTAATTAGGTTTGAGACATGAATTTGGAAAATGCCAGCTACTTTTAATTAATGTAAGCTAGCGTGTGGGTTCTCATTTCTCATCATCATCTTCTATTTTTTAGGCTTATTTTTCCATCGATTAGCAATTACTATATTTTCTTTTAGGCTGACCTAATATTTTAACAGTCGAACATTTTTTTTTATAAATGTATATACATTTATTAGCAAAAAGTATATATAAAATAAAAATATAACATTTGATAACATAAATATGAATTTTTATTCAAATAGTATAATGAGTCGATTCTCTTAACGATTAAGTCATGTCACGTAAGAATTTGCGGTATCCATAATGTAGTTATCAAATTATCTACTTGATGCTACTTAATTACGAGCCATGTGATTGTCTTAAACTATAGGTTAATTTTAAGCACGTGATCTTTTTTTGAAGGTTAATAAATTTGAGATTTGTATAAGGCTCATGTGTCAAGTTTTATTCAGTTTCACAATTAATTTCACCTGAAATGATGATGAAATTTGAGATATTCCTCCCCGGCCCCCAGCCAACTAAATAAAAAATAAAAAATATAATAATAATAATAATAATAATAATAATAAAATAAAAATGTAAATAGGGAATTACGTCATTTTATTATATTTATTCTGCTTATAGTTTCTACTTCCAAATATATTCAGAAGATGTTATTAATTTCTCACCAAATTAAAATACATGATACCAATGCTACAAAGAGAAAAAAAGAAAGTACATCCATACGTAAATAATTAATACTTCCTAGTTTCATTTTAAATGTTGTTTTAGATCAATTTTCTTATTTTTAATTATTTTTCTTTGTATACCATTCTTCCAATTATATCCACAGAAAGTCTTAATAAAATTCTCATATTCGTATTATATCCAAAGAAAATCTTANCACATTTGATGACATTAATTAATAATCCACATTTCCTACATAAATAATCAATCAGACAAACCAATCAAGAAGAATACCCAAGTCTAAGCTCCAAATCCAAATCCTCCTTCACATCATCAATCAAACCCAAGCTCAAATCCAGCTCCACAATCTCTTTCGCCTTCCAAACCCTAGCATCGCCCAACCCAAACTTATCCCCTTTGCTCTTCTTCCCCCTAATAAAATCCCCACACTCGACACCACTCGAAACATTTTTCCCGAGCAACGAACCCGAAAAAAGCACGGCCCTAGGGTTAGGGTTTTGGATAGGGTTTGGCTTTTGATTAGGGTTAGAGTAATTAGGGTTTGGTGGATATGGAAAATCCCACGAGCCCGAAGAAGGTGACGAAAGCCTCATGCGGGCCCGGTCTCGTCTGTGGACGTTCATGTGGCCACCGAGCGCTTGCGCGGATTTGAACTCTTTTTTGCAAAAGCTGCACCGATAATTCCTCTGCGGCCATGAAAAACCGTATGCTCGGTCGCGATCGAAGCTCGTCTGGTCGAAACCCCACTTTAGCTTCTCCATCGACTAATCGAAAACCATGAAAAAAAAAAAGAGGAGAAAATAGAAAGAGGGAGATTGTGAATGGGGGCCCTTCTCAAAAGCAAGTTGATAAAAAGGAAAGAGTAAAGGACATATAAAGAAGAGGCAGTCAATTTTTATTTTTATTTTATTTTATTTTTTTTTTGTGGGGGAGTACGTAGTTTTACTTTGCAAATTGTCTGTTGCTAAATATGGGGGTTGGTTAAAAGAGAGAGAGTAGGAAAAAGGTTTTTAGGGTTAGAGTGTGGTTAGTTTTTTGCCAGATATGGGTGGGATGTAAGTGGAGTTTAAGTGATGTCTTGGAATTATTATTATTACAGTCTTTGTATGTAAGCAGCTTTTGGGCAAAACTGTGTGTTGGGGGGAATAATTTTCGTGTTAGCTAGAGTTATTGCACGAACTTAATTGTCAGGCAATAATTAAAGTGTGTAGCATGAAAGGATTTTGATGGATTAATGATGACTTTGTTGTAAAGATATAATATTGTGTGACTTGGGATTTTCAATTGTGTAGATTATTCAGATTTTTTGTTTCTTGTTTTAGTTTTATTTTTATGTTTCATGTTGTTTCATTTTGTAAGATGGATGACACGAATATGCGAACCTGAACCTGAACCAGCGGTTCCGAACCCAAACCGGCCCAAAACCAGGTTTTGGTGTACATGATTTCTTGATAAAGCCTACAAAAGATATATACTCCAATTTATAATGAGTTCATTCTAATCAAAACAAATTCTTATCAAGCCCAAATACGTATTTCGATCCAATTCCCGAGAAAACTTGCAAGATGCATGGAATGTTCCGATGCTAAAACTCTGACGATCAAGTCAACTCGAAATTCAAGTTAGATTGGTTCTCAAACCTCATACTTAAATTTTTCGGGCTAAATCCATCTCATAATTAGTCAGATTGAAGCATTTAACGAGTCAAAGTCAGTTTAAGTAATCCAGTGGGCATGTATCACCAAGAAAGCACGATTGATCCATAATTCCTACTTCTATATGTAATGTAAAACTAAAAACGATACTTTTTCATTTAGCATTAGATTTTATCATTAATAAGCATTGTAAAAATGGACATGACATGCCATGCTACTTGTATATATGAATTATTACTAGTAACAAATAAAATAATACATAAGCAATTCGAAATTTCAAATGTCATTTTTTTACCATTCCTTTGCAATAAAGTCCAGACTGTCCAAATAATGTAATTCCCACATTGTAGCATGAATGTGAACATACATAATTTATTAATTCGACTGCCACTCGAATATAACACGGACCAAACATACATTCTCACTGACAAGAACCCTATTGTTTTAGACCCTTTTACCAATGATTACTTAACAGATTTTCTTGACTCGAACAAAAATCCAAGCAAATAGGAAAAGGCTCCATTCTTTGTACCCGAATTCTTTTAAATTAAAATGAGTGATATATTATTTGTGATCAAATATGATCAGCTACATAGAAATAATTAATAGTAACATTTTTTTTTTTTGTGAAACATTTATACAATTTGATGCATTAACTCTTGAGGATCTGTGTACTGTTCCCCGATCTGAATAAATATGGTTTTTATTATTATCCCAACAATTTCAGAGGCTCTGCATATGGCCCCCTATGAGTTTAACATTTAAGGGGAAACTAAAGCTTTTTTGAGAAATCAAAAACCTCCTTCACGATATGGTGGAATTGATATCACCAAAAAGGTGATAATGAACAGTAAACAATTGCATGATGGGTAGGATTGAAAAATTGCACGGTTGCAAATTTTACCCAATTTAACATTTAGTCCTTTTATTCGAAGAATAGAAAATTTACAACTAGATGGTTTTT